TTATTCCCTTCCCCCACCCACAGAAAAAATATATTGTACATATGGGCACTAGTTAGTATTTTCATGGAGACATTGAGGTATTATGGTGGGTGTGGTGAGAAAGATAAGTATGATTGGGTCAGCGTTTGTGGCTAGCTATGTTTAAAATTAAGACAGAAACCGACCACTTCCCCCTTCCCTATTTCGGACTTGTGCCACATATTTTGTTAATACAGAGTTAAATAAACCGGTAGTAAGTTCGTTTTATTTTTATTTACTGTTTACACTTTTAACTCGCGCAGATATCTATTGTATTTTTGATCAAAATATAATTAACTATTTAAAAAAATACAACATTTATAATTATTGCAATTTTTTTATATTTTCAAAGTTAGTATGTTTTATTAAAAAGCCTGCTTATGAGCTAATCTCGGAACTAACTTTACTTTTAGGTAAGTAATCATTACTTTTAATTTAATAATGTATTTCGAACTTTATTTTCAAATTTATTTTGAAGAATATTTATTTGTGTAATTTCTGATAATACATATATTTTCTTTTGTAGATATTTTAATAAAAATATGAGAAAAAAACATCCCAAACCGTCTTATAGCCTTATCAAAATTCCACGGTATGTTATTGAGTTGATCAGGGGTGATGTATCTTCCAGTCTTGGAGTCAGCCTTGCCAATGCCTTGCTTTTGAAATTGAGGGCTATGGGCTTTCTTATCCCTAATATTAATGTAAAAGATATCTATATAGATAAACGTAAAATTGATAGAGCAAAGGCTAAAGTGAAAACAAATGCCCATCAAAAGCATGAAAAAAAGGTGGAAAATCTTCTTTGTATTGGAATTGATGGAGGTACTGACAAAGACACACTAATGTACAAGGAAATAGTGGAGGAAAATGGAGAGAAAACAATGAAAAAAAAACAAGGGACTAGAACGCCACTTAACTGTCACAAAGGAGGTGACATATGAAAGTGAATATCTGACACACAGGGTTCTTCCAAATATGATGTAACTAGTGCTGTTCTTGCCGAGCTGATGTTTTGCATGAATTCGACAGTGTGAGCACTATCAAGGCTATCCTTGTTGACAACACTGACAAATACAGGCTGTGAAGGTGGACTTGTTGCACTTCTAGAAAGAAAACTTAACAGAAACCTTCAGACTATTGGTTGCTCCTTGCACCAAAATGAACTTCCGTTTAGAGCTCTTATTAAACATGTAGATGGTACCACAAAAATACCTACCACATTCACTGGTCCGCTGGATAAATTATGTGCAAATGTTTACCATAATTTACTCCAAATATCATTTTCAGCTATTGGCAATCCTCTGGATTCTATTTTTAAAATTGAAAATCCAGATACCCTTAGTTGTGACCAAAGACTCCTTTATGAATATGCAGTGGGTATTTGTAGAGGTAAGGTGGACTCTAGATTTGCATCATGGAAAATTGGTCCATTAAACCAGGCAAGGTGGTTAACTTTAAGCATCAGTCTGATGTGCTTATGGATTCGTGATGCATACCCACGAAATCTTTCAACCAAACTCCACAGTTTAATAAATTTTATTGTGAATGTGTATGCCATTTGCTTGTTCGAAATTAAAAGAAATAACAAATTCCACAATCATCAAATGTATATTTTGAATATGATCCAAAGGATTAGAAAGCAACCATATGAAATCCAACAGATCACATTGAAAAATATACAATACAATGCTTTCGCCTTATTGCCTGAAAATATCTTATATTCAATGGTCAAATCTGATGAACTGGAAGTGAGGGAAGAAGCTATAAAAAGAATTTTGGCCATTAGGTTAGTAAATATTTATTCATATAAAACTGACTAAATTAGTTATGCCGATTTATAGAATATTAAAGCAGTACAGAGTGCATGTAAAATAAAAACTCAAATTAATTTTTATATTCTTTCAAGAGTGGGGAGCAAACCAAGAAAAGATTAAAAAGAATCATAACTATCAATTTTAAAGCCATGCACTGGACACAGTTAAAAGATCTGTGATTAAGTGGAGTTTGTGAACCACCACTCACAGAAGAATTTTCTGAAAATGAACTTCGGGAATAATTATTAAATGGTTTGAAGCTTGACTTGCCAGATTTGCCCTCATATTCTCAAGGCGTGGAACAGGCAGTCAAGTTAACAACAGAAGCTTCTCAATCTGTGTATGGCTTTGAAGCAAGGCACATATTAGCAAAAGTTCTGTCAGAAATTGAGACCATCATTTTCGACTAAGGGCTCTTATATAGAGCTACTTGACTCTATATATTAAGCCCTATTAAACTATTATTTGTTTTCCCATATTTGTTTCTTTGTTATATTTTCATTCATAATAGAACAAATCAGTTTTTTAATGTATTCAACTATTACAGCTTAATTCATGAGATAAAAAAAACAGCATTTCGAAGTCGTCACTGACAATGGGGGGAGATTTTTAATTTAAAGTTTAGTTATAATTTCTTAATAGTATTTTATTTTGATAAAATAAAATAACAACATTCCTGATTTAAATAATGAAATGGTTTGGTTTTCTCATCAATATTTAGGCCAAATCTTACAAAATCGAAGATTTTTCAGTGCATTTTTGTCTACGATCTTTAATGATCAAAAAACCGTTGAAGTGCAAGATCTAATTTTTTTTGTATCAGTACGTAATAAGTATATACACACATTTCGGTACATTATTCTTTTTGATATTTTTAAAAAAGTAAAAATTCAACCCACCCTAATATATATATATATATATATATATATAATGTGTGTGTGTTTGTGTGTGCGTATAAAGCAATTTCTAAAGAATTAATCGATCTAGTTTTAATCCGACGTTTTTATTAATTCAATTGTAAACCGAGGAAACTGGAGAAATACCAGTTACCGAGGTATAACTTTGGAAAGAATCGTCTCAACTATCGGCTTCGTTAGATGTGCATAGCCACCATTCAGGCCCGTAGTGCTCTGGGCTACCCCATCGTTTCAATATGGGACTTTACAATAAACACAGACAAAACAATCAAAGCTGTCTTGCTTTTTTTTTTTGCTGTCTTGCTTCTTTTTGCTTTCTTTCTTTTTCTCTGATATGCCTTTACTTTTTTTCAGAAATTCTGTAAAAGTGAAGTTATTTGAAAATATTTATTTATTACAGACAACAGAGAAATAAACACGGCCATTTTGTGTAAACTTCGAGCAACACTAGTTTCCTCGTTACATTTGGGTTTATTTTTATCAAGAGAGAAAAGAAAGTATAATTACTTACAGTTACAACCAAAATCGTAAGAAGGTATTAAAGATATATTTTATTAAACAATTTGAAAACGAATAGAGGACATTTGTGGTGTTTTTGAAAGGCCAGTAGGGGACAGGTAACAAACTTATCGCGACATGTAGAGTATATAAGGGCCGTCTTGTATTGAATCCTTTTTAAACTAATGTTATGAATATTTGAATTTATATTCTTTTCCTTCTTTTACACACACACACACACACACACACACACACACATATATATATATATATATGATAAACTTATAATTAACGATAGACCCAAACCAATATATTATGTAAAAGGATAAAAAGAGAGACATAAGTTAAAAATATAAAGCAATGATTTTAATCGGTTATGAGGAAAAGGAATGTAAAGTCATTTGAAAATTATTTTATACAGTGTAACCCGGATGTAAGAGAGTTGTGGGGACCGGAGAAGAAGTCTCTTATATCCGGGTTTCTCTTATATCCGGGTTTCGTCTATTATATATACATTAACACAAGCTCTAATTTGGGACCAGAGAAAATCTCTCTTATATCCGGGTTTCTCTTATATCCGGTTCTCTTATATCCGGGTTACGCTGTACAAGCTAAGAAAAAGAAATTCTGTAAAAGTGAAGTTATTTGAAAATATTTATTTATTACAGATAACAGAGAAATAAACTCATCAGTTTTGTGTTAACTTCTAGCAAAACTAGTTTCCTCGTTATATTTGGGTTTATTTTCATGAAGAACATCCGAGAAAAGAAAGTATATTTATTTACAATTACGACCAAAAACCGAAGGTATTAAAAATATTTTTTTTTTATTAAGCAATTTGAAAATGAACTAAATATAGGACATTTGGGGGTGCCCTTGAAAGGTCAGTAGTGGACAGGGGACAAACTTATCCAATACGCGACCTATACAGTACATAAGGGCCATCTGTCAACCCTAATTGTCATTCATATCACATCTCGATTATCATCATCATCATAATAGTAGCCGTAAACCTTGAGTGGCTCTCAAGCATTCAGTAAAATTAAATATTTTAAAAAAAGCCATATCATTTGGGCTAGTCATTCAGTTACGTGCCATATGTGATACACACTTGGGCGATCATATATCTTTCAATACGTCAGTGATAAGAGTTTTTCTCGCAGTAGGTTGCCATTTCTTTCTGCAGTAGACTGATTGCCAACCAAGGCTAAAGTTTGTCTTTCTATTCAGCCCATAGATGGATGTTAAGGGTATTTGTGCGTAAGTGAATCTAACGACCTAGACTTGAATTCAAACTTGCCTCTCCTAGTTCTCACTCCGAGCCGATATCCATTACACTACAACATATGGAAACGAATATTATTCTCGCTACAGCATCCTGTCTGTGCGCATGCGCACTGATTTCCTTAAAAAGATTCCAGCATCGACTGACGCGTTTGGAATAAATGTACAGCAACGAACACCCAGGCAAGGAATAATCTCCTCCGATGATCCCTTATTCGGCGATTATATTCCTGTTTTTATTAACACTTAACGTGATACTAATATGCTTCCTCATCATCGTTGCATCTCGCCTCGTTTTAACAGCCGGCGGATAGCCATCGTGCGTGTTTACTCATGCCTGACGTAGACTGGAAGCATCAATAAAGATACAGCAGCCATGCACAATGTTCGTCTTGTTGCTGTTTAAGCGTTATCACAATTTTCGGCAATCGCCCTTAAATGATTTTTCTGTGTGGAAAATTACGATATGGTCGTTCCGGAAAATGGTAAAAAACTGAAGATCGCGTTTGTTCTTTTCTTGCAGTCTGTAATGTCTTTTTTAATTTTTTTCTATTCTTTTTTAGCTTTCCCAGTTCATGATTATTTGCCTATTTTTTTTTTTCTTTTATGTAAAAGAAGCAATTAGAGAAGGAGGAAGAAAAAGGGGATGAAAAATACGAGAAATTATTTTTCACTTTAATTTTTATCTTTTCCTAAATGATGTAAATTCTTTCAATGTCCATTTTAATTTATTCTTAACTGAACGAAAAACATTCTTTCTCTCATCCTTCACAGTTTCTATTCTTTTTCTTTCTTTCTTTCTTTCTTTCTTTCTTTCTTTCTTTCACTCTCAAATGATCATCTTTTCACATTTAACTTTCTTTCTTTCTTCCTTTGCTGATAACTATTTCATATTTATCTTTCTGTCATTATTTCTTACTTGCCCAGCTGGCCACTCTTTTCATTTTGCCGTTTCTTTCTCTCTCTCTACCCTCTCTCTATCTATCTATATTTCTTTCTTTCTTTATTCTAAGTTGGTCTCTCTTCATTTTACCGTTTCTTTCTTTAACAGTTGACCACTTATTATTTTATCGTTTCTTTCTGTCTTTCTTTCTCCACAGTAATGCATTTCATTTTTCTTTTGCTTTCTTTTTCTTTCTTTCATTCTCAGCTGGTCACTTTTTTTCATTTTTAAGATTTCTTTCTTTCTTTCTTTCTTTTCTTTCTTTCTTTCTTTCTCAGCTGGTCACTTTTTTCTTTTTTATCCTCTCTTTCTTTCTTTCTTTCTTTCTTTAGTCACTTTTTTCTTTTTCACCCTTTCTTTCTTTCTTTCTTTCTTTCTTTCTTTCTCAGCTGGTCACTCTTTTCTTTTTTACCCTTTCTTTCTTTCTTTCTTTCTTTAG